GATGTCGACAGCACAAAACACCGTTTACATTAACTTCTCGTTGTCAGGCTACTCAGATAATGTCGATTTATGTGAATCTGCTAGATTCGACAATTCTGCTTTCACCTACTACTTTATTAAATTATTAATTATTATTATTAATATATTATTAAAGTGTTCTTTACATTATATTTTTAAAATATTATTAATTCGCCCAAACCAGTAGCTCCAAGGTTAAAACTCGTACTTCAAAATTTTTGCCAAATTTAATTGTGAGACTCAACCATTACTCACCTTGTGTCTGACACCGATTAAGACCAATGTATTGTAAAACTCAAACGCACCTCCTTTTTCAAAGCTCATCTCCAAGGTTGCAGTTATTCCCTATCGATCTTCTGGTAATTCAAGTCTTAGACATTACACTAATTATTGAAATTAAATAAATAAACACAACCAAATAAACCTCAATACTATAACACATAGACTCTGTAGTTATCTTAAGAACTTATCCCTTTATTTACATATTCTTTTTAACCTATCCACCTAACATTCTTTATTAATTGCCATAAACAACAAATACATACTAAAGGAACAAATCACTCTTTATTGCTAATGTAGTCTCATGCCAATGTAAGAGCTCTGACAACACAATGAACCACCTAAATCATCATGGCTACATGTGAAAACACCGGTTCCCGCTTTTCCTCGCCTAATGAAAACCAAAAATGAATACAATTCAATAAGAAAGACCTACAGCAGAACCACGCTTCGCCCCGGAACAAGAAAAATATTAAAAACAATTATGATACCCATTGACTATCCGACCTCCTCTCTATCGGATTTCGCGGAACTAATACAACGTATCAACAGCGACATAACCAGTATATCCTCGTCACAGGCACATAATCATATCCAAAATTATCAATTAAACAATTCGTTTGATTATTAATCGATTTTACTCATTATGTAAACTTGTTTAGCGGCTTCTCCGTTTGTTAGCGTTTCATCGATAACTCCTCGTACAAAGCCTTCAACCACGTACAATGCTTTTCCGAATAAAGCTATATATTACCATTCATCCGCTGTAAATTTATTAGACATCATTATTTAAAAACTGTAAAGTAGTGCAACGCCATCATGCTATATAATAATAAGCAGATACATAGATCTCTCTCCTTTTATCTCGTCCCTTCGCACTGACATACTCCCAACTCACACTCGGTTCAGTATGTCTCAATATTCTAGAGGAGCAGAAATACCTACTTATCATGCTTATAATTCATATAGCATTGACGCGGCTGCACTAACTTTACAGTTTAAAACGATGTCTAATAAATTACAAGGAAATTAATATATACTTTATTCGGAAAAGCATGTACTGAACTTTGTACAGCAACGAGAAACGCTAACAACGAGAAGCGCTAACAAGTTTACATAATAAGAAAACATAATAATCAAACGAATGTTTAATTTAATTGAGTGATATGTGCTGTGACGATGATATATACTGCGCCGTTGATACTTTATTATTCCCAACATCGATAGAAATCGATAGTCATTATATATTTTTAATATTTTCTTGCCGGGAGCGTTTCTAGCTGTATCTTTCTTATGATTGTTCATTCATCGAAAAAGCGGGAACGTGTTCAAAGCAGAAGTGGCATTTTCAGAGCTTTACATTTCATATAATTCAATAAAGAGGATTTTTCCTTTAATATATTTTTACGCAATTAATAAAAGAATGTTAGGATAGTTAAAAAGAATATTAAAAAAGATAAGTTTAAGGTTAACACACGTTATTTGTTATATTATTTATTTTTTTATTTATTATTTCAATAAATAATTCAAACTTGAATTACCAAAGATGCGATAAATAAATGCAACTTATGACTTTGAAAAATCTTGAGTTTACAATACATTGCTAATCGGTTTAGACACAATGAAGTTGGAAGCTCACAAAATTGGCAAAATTGAAAGTCATTACCGAGCAACTTTTGCAATAATAATATTATTAAAATATAATAAAGAACACTAATAATAATAATAATAATAATAATAATAATAGTATTGAAAGCAGAATCTCGATCTACAGATTCACATCATCTCGACATTATCGAGTAGCCTGACAACGAGAGTTAATGTAAACAGTTTTTGTTGCTCGACTCAATAATAGGCGGTATCGACGATTCTCCTGGATTCCTTCTGAAATCGTCGATGAGGAATCTGAAGGACTGATCGAGAATTGTCTTGACGGTTATATAAGTCACCTTGCGAAAGAAAGTGTGCGCTCTTCTTACGACTCTTCTTATGAGACTTCTTGCGACTTCTTGCGGGTCGCTTACAATTTCCGCGTAGAACTGGAGCTCGCGCGAATAACGTCAGTGTACGGCTTTGTAAAAGAACGATTAAATACAAATTTTCAACTTCTCACTCTGAGTACGCGTCGATATACCTCTTCGCTCTTTCCGATATTCCACTACAATATATAATAAAATTACTGAATAAGTCTGTCAGTAGTAATGACTTATAATTTTGACAATGTAGTTAGCTCAACTTCATTGTATCTAAATCATTTTGCAATTCACTGTATGTATATCAGATTCACTTTTCAATATTTAGTGAAAATTCTCATTTGATGATTCAGAATCTCAATAATTCAGAATGATTCAGAATGATCAGAATGATTCAGAAAAATCATTCTATATGAGTGGAAAGTTAAAAAATTATTGCACATAACTGAAAAAGAGTGACTCGGTGATGACTTATTTTCTTTTTTTTTTATTTTTTTATTATATTTCACTCAAAGAAATTTTGTGAACGGCGTATCGAAAGGATAAAAGTTGCAGCATATAATAACTCGAAAAATAACTCGTTCATCAACGTCGAAACAGTGTCGAATCGCCATCGAAACCGTCAAGTCGACGTCCATTCGACATTGTTTCGATGGCGATCGATGACTTATTTCTCGCTGAGATTAAGTGCATTACGTATTCTCTATGTTTTGCGACGATTTCTCGCCTTCAATTACCGTCGGCTTTCTGACCCAGCTCGAAAGCTAATGTTTGAACGTTGGGCGCCAGGTACGGCAATCCTGTATAATTCGCGAAATGGGTCGCCAACGCTAAAATTTTCCGCTAATTTCCGAAAAAAAAGAAACCTTCCCGTGATCGATTGTCCACACGGGATCGGTTGCTCTTACATATTTTGAATCGGAGAAGGAATTATCCGAAGGGAGTCGAAGGATTTTGGGCAAAAGATCTGCACGCCAATTTTGAGAAGCTAACAAGTTTTATTTTGCGCTGGCGGTAGTAATACAAGAGTACAGGAGAAACCGTAATACGAACAATCTCTTTGGTCTCGCTATATTCCTCTAATGTAATATTCGAAATTATTTGCTAAATGGAGACGATTTTCAAGGGCTATATTTATTTACTTCCTATTGCCGCTTCAATTCGTCCGGCGGGACTACCGACTGACACAGTTGCGATGCTCACACTTGAGAGATCTTGACATCATAATAACTGTGAGATTTAATTAATAAAAAGTTTTTATCAAAAAAACTTTTCTATATATAATATTTTTATATGCTAACAATATATTTATATTATTAAAATTATAATGTATATGTAAAATTATAATGTAATTATAATGTAATTATTATGTAAAATTATAATGTATATTATTAAAATTATAATGTATCAATAGATTTCCACATCACCTAAGAGGTACTATTGCCGATGCGTTTTTTTTTTAAGTGGTATCCCCAATAGCCTATTCCACTAAAGAAGCACTTCAATTAATCCTTTTAAACTTATCCTAACAATTTAATTATATATTAAATTTTTTTAAAATTATATTATATTATAAGATATTTTAAATATTAAAATATATTATATTATAAGATATTTTAAATATTAAAATATATTATATTATAAGATATTTTAAATATTAAAATATATTATATTATAATATATTTTATATTATATTTGTTACTGTATTTATAAAATCAATATTCAAAGAAAATGTTCAGTATTCAAAGAAAAATGTTTAATAAATAAAATTTTATTCTCGTTGACACATTCATAAATATAACGCAAAGATCGCAATCACAGTTGAAACAATTGCATAAATCTAAGACTAGCAAATGTTATCACGGGGAAATCTACAGGTAGACCTCCTAAAAAATTGTAAGTATATATTGACGTCCCTTTTCCTCACCTTTTTAATATCGAGACGTCTTATTGTTTGTAATATTGTACTATGTACTAATTAACGAAAATCATTGTTATATTTTAGTGTTATGTGTCATATGTGTAACGGCATTCGTTTGTATCCTGTTTTACAATTATGTTGAATACCGTGTGTCAACGTTTAATGCGATTCACTTGTATGCATTTTTCCTTATCATTTTTCATCATCATTAGTATCGATGTCATTGGTAATAAGAAATTATATATGATTTCTCAATTGCATAGCATGATTGCATTAAAACCTTTTTTTTCCGTGATACATTTGCTAGTCTATGTGATTCATGCAATTATTTCAACTGTGAGTGCGATCTTGCATTACATTGAGAAAACATATTTCTTTTTCTTTACTAAAAAGTAATACTTATAGTAGATACATGATTTGCAAACTTGTAACACTCTATACATGTATAGAGGTACATTTTAAATGCAACATCATGATACCATGCTGTAATATTACTTCGCACAATGACGGATATATAAGATACAAATAATAACAAAATAAAGAAAGAAAATCGTACATTTCTTAGTTTTCGTAATTATGAATACGTTCGCGAAATTTGAACATTTGTGCTTCTTTTGTACAATTTTATACGTTCTATATTATTTATTTTCTTTATTTTATTAAAACGTATTTTATTTTATTTGATATGTTTGTCCTTTATAAGTTTCCTTTATAAATCTTTTTATTTATTCGATAAATTTTTTAATTTTCTATTGAATATATTATTTGCTTTTATACTATCGTTATTATATCGTGTGCGGGAATATATCTTAACAGTCATTAAAAAATTTTAATGCCTGCATACGATGATTGTAACACTTTTTATGAATGTCAAACCATTCAGCATGCATTTTATTAGTGGCATGTATACCTTCATTTATCATCTTTTCAAGAAGTTGTGTGGATGCCCAGTGATGTTGCCACGAATGATTAAAAGCCATTAACTGTGTTTTAATGATATTTATAAAAAGATTTGTTGGTCGAACTAATTTCGTGACTGTCGGCGCATCTTCATCTGCATTAGGATATTCTCGATATTCGATATATTTTTCATTAGCTGTTACGTCTTCCATTGGTGTTTTTAACATTATTTGACGACAATAGTTACAATCATTTTTTTCAATACATCGTCGTGTTACATATCCTGCAAAGAATGTAATAGCATTTTCATCATAATTACTTATTATATTCATATTTTCAATGTCTACATCATCGTATTCCTCTACAATTTCTGCATGTTTATCGAACAATTCTGTTTCTGAATCAACATCATCATCAACAACAATAACGTCAGCATTATTAACACTTATGCAATGTTCAATCGTTTTCATGAGATGATTCGGCTGATTAATAAGAGCCTCACTTTCAAAACATTGAACGTTGCCCTTATCGCTTGCCAGAATGTAACCCGTAGAAAGAATATGTCTAACAGACAGTCATACCATTCTTGCGGTAGGATTAGGATTAAATCCTCCGCGTTGTCGAAGTTTTGAAAACAAATGTTCCACTGAATCTTGATTACATAAACCTGTTGCAAGTTCAAACTTATCATATTTACGTGAAAGTATCTTATACAAAGTAAGAATAGCTTGTGTTGTAATTGCGAAACCTTTGAAGCATGAAACTTGAAATACTTTATTCGGAAATTTTGACCATCCTGAACACCATTGCACAAAATTAGTCAAAAGTATTTCAATATCAGGATTTTTTTGGGATAATGGCCGTTTTCCACCAAATTTAACTTTAAGGCTATAAGAATTGCAAGCATCTATTACGTTATTCATATATTCAGCAAAATCAGCCGTAGCTTTCCATGTATTAGAATCTAATTCTTTTTCGTCACCGGCTATTTTAATTGCAGCTGCGAATTTATTACTAAATAATTGAAACGCTCTTTTCACGTTTATTGCTTCAAAACTATTTGGACGAATGTGTGCCTCTGTTATATGGGATAATAAATTTGAGCCTCCTTTTGTAGCATTATCGATACACCACGTCTTAATAAAATCTGAATATGATGCAATTATTTCCCCGTTGCAATATATCTTATCATGTATTCTAAGGAAACTAGCTAATCTTTTAACTAAGTGCGGGAAGTCGAAGGAAGCATAATAGTTTTTATTTTTATATATAAAAATGGTGTTTGTACTTCAACACCGAGTTGACTAAACGCAGCTTGATTGCGTACACCTTGATCACATGTCACGAGTTGCACATCAGCACTGTTTCATTTAATTTGTCTAAACATATCTTCACTAATTCAACTATTTCCTTTGATTTTAAAGCATTTCTAACAAGGAAATATGCTAAAGGTTGTCGCCACGGATGATGTGCATTCAAACTATCAAGGCAAAGTACAAATACGCACTTAGCTCTTTCGTTTCTTCTACCTAGAGGTCCTAGATCGACAAGACCTTCTATTTCATCTAATTTTAAAGAATATTCCTCATAACTTTTTATATACATTTCATCCCATTTTAAGGCACACACTCGTTCTTCCTCAGGTATTTGCGATATTTTTTCTTTTAATTTTTTAAATAAAAAATCGCAAAATCCCGGTTTTATATCATACTCTTCTAACCATCTTCTAACTGTTCGCTGTCCGGGAAAATTGCAACCTGCTTTCTTTAAGCGACAAAATGCTGACGCTGAATAATAATATAATTGCTTAGAATAATTGCTTAGATTGCTAAAGCATTTTTTCTTCCTCTGTATATTGTATGCGCGGAATATGCAGTTGCAAATGTATCATACTTTTTGCAACAGGATTAAATTTTTGTTTATTTATCAAATTCTTTAATATTTGTTTTTCCGACTTTTGACTTTTACACTTCTCACGCGCTTGTGTCATATATCGCAACTGATAATTTAAACGTTTAATTTTTTTTTCGTAAATTAAGATTTTCTATTCTTAAAGCCTTGATAATTAAATCTGGATTGTTATCTGGATTTTCTTTACTTTGCATGCATTTTTCCTTACGTTTCACATTCTCACGTGTGTGTGGTTCTGGTTCCAAATGCATCCATTCCATGACATCTTCCTCTTCTGCAGTAATGTCGAAAAGTATAGTTCCAGATCCATATGTTCGTACTGCAGACTGTTGAAGTTCTTCTTTTTCTAATATAATATTTTGGTGATTGGGTAAAGATAATTCTGCAACGTCCCTTTGTACCTCTCTTATTTCTATATTATCTTTATATGCAGAAGAGGCATCTTCGTCGTACGGAATTGGTACGGCATCTCTACGCAATTTTATTTTTTGTGGGTTTTTAAAGGACGTCACAACAAAATGATCTTCGCACAATCCCGCAGCTCGAAGGGTATTCGGAGACCATGTCTCCAACTTAGTATTTCCTGTAACAAAAAATAAAAAACAAGCGATTACGCGTTTATTTCTGACTTCCGTAGCAAGAGATTTGTATATGTATTCCAATAGAATAATTGTGTATTATACAGTAAGCATCATGAAATGAAGAATTTTGTGATGGTTGCACTAAGATATTTGGCATCAAGTCATGGTTTCGTCTAAATATAATTTAAAAATAATATTTGTTCTAAATATTACACATTTCTAATTTAGGATTTTTAGTTTTTCTTTGGATATCATTATATCAATTATTTTTATATTTAATAATTAATAATAAAGCATTTAATATTTACATTATATTTATATTAATAATGAAATTATAAGTGTCAGTTTTTCATACTACAAAGCAACAATCACATTTTTCAATATTTAGAGCATTTTCAGACAAAAAAATTGCAATTGGGAAATTATGAAATAACTTTAATAAAATAAGAAAAAGAGTTATAGGTGAATGTTATATAAATATTTCAATAATCTTTGTATTTATTAACGTTTTATTACATTATTTTTAAAAACCAACTTAATTTTTTACTGAAAAATTATAAGTACTGTACAGGGTGTCCCGAAATTAAATGTCAAAACTTCAAAAGCGTGTAGAGGATCGATAAAGTAAGAAAAAAGTCCTTTACAGATTTGCTCGTTTTAACTTCCTTGTGAAGAAAATAAAAGAAAAACAAAAAAATGTTTATTTAATATTTACACTTATTTTTTTATTAATTTGTTTACACTTATTTATTGCTTTCCTTAATAAATAGATTGTTCAAAATGTTGACTTTTTGCAGCAATGCAAACATTGCATTTATTACTGACAGCTTGTATTGCAGCCAAACACTAATCTTATGATATTTGATGCACAGCAGCCACGATTCGATTTCTTAGCTTAGCCCCCCACACAAAGAAATCCATAGATGTTAGATCGAGTGATTGTGATGGCCAAGATATAAAACCTCAACGTTCAATCCATTGTCAAAAAATCTAAAATAAGTTTTATCTGAAATAAAATTTCAGTGAAATCTTGCTTCCACTGATGAGAAATAATAAAATATAAATGGAACAAAAGAAAGAGATTTGTGTGCAGTGACACAGTCAATATTTGCAAACTGCATCAATAACATGAACAATCGCTGTTATTCACTGATTCTTTTAGCGAAATTTTTTGCAGTGCTATATTTAGAGCAAAAGCTCTTATTACAACTATAATGTTTCAATAAAGAATGCACTGATTATATTTTACAGAGTATCGCGCGAATTGTGAGAATTTTGTGGTACTGAGATTTAGAATGCAACGTTGTTAAAATAATATGTAATATTAGAATGATAATAAGCCGAACAGTTGCAATTACAAGGTATTTCAAACTTTTTTACCATTTCAAAATTGAAACAGCAAAAAACGGTGAAATATTCCTTTTACTGATACAATAAAAAACATTTTTACTGATTCACTTTAAGAGAATACATATACGAATCTGCCTTTCTTTAAAAAAAAGGACGTTAATATATGAAACAGTAAGATCCCTGCGAGGAATGATTCGTCGATCGACATCGAAAGCCACATAACACAAGATCAAGGAATATGCTAGAGACTTTACGAAGTTTGGAAGACGTTTGGAAGTCTTCAGATTTCTTTCGGACGTTCTTAGGACGTAAAACATCCTCTAGACGTCTTTCGGACGTTCTTGTGATCGCGTGCTGTCTAGGAACGACGTCAGTTAGATGGTTGCTCAATTATCAATTATCAATGATATATGGCCTTTCATTACATTCTCTAAGTTTCAATTGTTAATTTAACGATTCCTTTCACAAGTCAAATATTAACATGCTGATTTGAAACATAATGCGAAAAGCTCGAAAATAAATGCGAAGCAGAGAAGAGATTAACAATGAATGATTATTATTTAATATGCAACTTACAGTTAAATGGACGTCAATTCGACAAGTCATTCTTCGCTGAGATAAAGATCTACCTGTATTGTATATCCATTGATGATATCTTGCGTCGTTTTGCATGGGAAACCTGAATAGGCGCTTTCCATTACATTTCCCATTACTGCAATTTTTGTACACACAGGTATTTGAATAGCGAACTGCACGGAACTGATTTGACATTGTATATTAATTTAGAATATATACAGTGTTATACACTGTATGAAAAAAAATATGAAAAAAAAGAAATCACAACACGTGACAAGAAAAAGAAAAAAAAGAAGAAGAATAGACGCGATTCAACACACGCGTAAGCACACGCGATGTTTATATATAATCGCGTTAAGGAAAAGAAATATGAAAAAAATAAGTGTTGTGAAATCTCGTTGACTCGCTAAGATAAGAAACACTGAAAATCCGCACAAGAACGAGAATCGTTAGAATACGGATTACGAAGTGCAGTCGTAAAGCTCGCGAGTACTGATGACTGTCGCCGATAGATTGCCACGCCGCTCGTGTCAAAATACCTCTCCGAGGGGAGAGAACGTTGAGCGTCGCGCTTCTGTTGTTTCAAAGCCAGCAGATAATCACGATTGAACACTCGTAAAGTCAACCGAATTTTAAACATCTCGTAGAAACAAGTACTTCAGCTCATCAATATGAATGTAAAGGAAAGTAACCGAAACAGCCAAAAACCTCCTACAGAAAGGAAGAGATTTGAGCAGAAATTCATATTCAGTAGCTTCGAGACATTAAGTCAATTAGACATTCCATGTTAATGTAAGTTGCATATTAAATAATAATCATTCATTGTTAATCTCTTCTCTGCTTCGCATTTATTTTCGAGCTTTTTGCATTATGTTTCAAATCAGCATGTTAATCTTTGACTTGTGAAAGGAATTGTTCAATTAACAATTGAAACTTAGAGAATGTAATGAAAGGCCATATATCATTGATAATTGATATGAGCAATTTCAATCTGTTCAATCGAAGAACGTTCCATTGTGTAGGTTACAATTGGTTATATAGATAATATTTATAATCATAACATCGTGAAAGATGCCGATGATTCAAAAACACTAAGATTTAGTTTCATAATTAATTTTAACTGGAGTTTAAGACTTATTGAGACAAACTTGCATAGTCGTATTGTTCATATGCATAACTGAAGTAGAACTAATAATTATATAAAAGTAAAGATGATGTCAAAATTAAGTCAAAATAATTTTGACGTTATCTTGACCTTTGATGATTACTTGTTCTAGAGAAGGAAACAGATTAATTAAATATAAAATATGTCTAATATAAAAGGCACGCTTGTATGGATTATGATTGGTTGATTTTCTTGCGCATATCAATAATGCGATTATGTAATTTTGTTTAGATAGGCTTTTAAAGAGTTGTCTTATTCAACCCGACAAAAAATACGTATATTTCGTTAATTTTTTTTGCGGAAGCGAAAAAGATCACATGATTAAAAGATTACGGGTTTTGACAGTTTGCTTAATGATGTTTAAAGAATATATATACATTTTTCTACAAGTATGTAAGGTTAAAAATATATAAAATATTGCAGTAAAAGCAAAGAGGTTGCAAATAGACGATTCCAAGGAATTTCTAAATGTGTGTGATTTAATTTTTCACAATTATTTTAAGTAGTTTTTTATTTTCTATAAGTATAGCTATCGTCTGAACTACAATCGGAACACAAATAATAAAATGGTAGCTATTAGAACAAAAATCGTCTATTTCTGGCCTCTCGGTAAAGTTTAATAAAAAATAATAATTATTAATGAATTTGGTTAATTGTAATTAAAATGGTAAAGAGAAGTCTATTTTATAATGCTGCCAAGTTGCAAGTCGATTGGTCAAATAGTTATTGAGATATCGTGCGCACCGTGGAACCTCCTTGCTTTCATTGCAATATTTTTCATATTTTTAATCTTATATGTAGAAATTTATATACATTCTTTACAAACATCACATTAAACAAACCCTCAAAACAAAAATCCTGTAATCTTAAAGAAACAGGATATTAATCTAAAAAATAGAAACGATCAGAAATAACCGCTCGGTATTTCTAATATTAACGAATTATATTCCGGTTAAAATAATATAAATCGTATAATATATTCCGATTAATATAATATAAGTCGTATAATATATTCCGGTTAATATAATATAAGTCGTGAAACTGGACCTAAGTAAGACTTACGTTTAAGCGAATGTTCTCTTGAAACTGAAAACATTAATAATAATAATAATGATAATTATATTTCTATTTATCTTTTTTCTATACTATCTAACTATCTATCTATCTATTTCTCTATATCTATCTATCCATCTATCTATCTATCTATCTGTCTATCTATTTATCCATCTATATCTATCTCTATATCTATCTATCTATCTATCCATTTATCCATCTATCTTTTTTCTTCCTATATATCATTGCAACCTATCCTGTTCTATCCATATTTCTTGCAAATGCAAACAATGAATATTACATTAATTTTTATATTAAAATATATTTTTTATACTATAACATGCTGAATTAATAATTAATAAAATTCAACAGGTTATACTATAAAAACAAACACTTACGTAAAAGAATTATTATATTATTAAAAAGTTTGCATTTATTTTTTGACGGAGATCACCATTTTCTCGCGGTTTCCGTTGAGCAACAATATGCACGTTATTTATTCTTATCTATTATCTATTCGTAAAATTAAATAATAAAGTCGTAATTGAAATATGATAATAAAACTAATTTCTTTTTTTACTAGACTAAATTTATTTTTGCTACGAAAAGAAAAATGTAACAATGGAATATCTTTTACAAAACAAATAACATTTCATTTAATTTTTAATTTAAATTTATTAGCATAAATAAATTATTCTGTCATATACTTTAATAACAAATCATTTTTAAAAGATGTATATATTGGCTAAGAGTAGATTTCTATTAACTTTTCATCTCTCATTATAATTCTCTCTTCTTTATTTGGGCATTAATACTAAATATTCTTTATATACATATACACTATATATGTGTCATTTATTTATATATATATTGTCATGCAATTAATATATTTAATCAAGCCGTAAGAACACGAGAAGAGAGGAAGAGCGAGCAAGTGCGCGAGAGAGAGAAAGAACGAGCGAGAGAGAAAAAGAGCGAGGTATAGGAATAGCGAGAAAAATCTCGCGGCTCACGCAGTCAATAAGCTAAACGAGCGGGAAAGAAACAGATAATATGTCGACGCTCGTCTAGTCTCCCATATGCTACCTCGCGTGCGTGAAAAATAATTCCTCGCTTCGCACGTTCCCTTGACACGAGACGCTACCGCGTCTTTTGACGTTTCTGAAGCGTGAAAGATGAAAGAAAAGCGGAGAGATGTTCGCTTAGCGATAAAATCGCCGCTACCTCGCCTCGTGCTTACTGCCGCGCGCCGCTCAGTAGTGAGACAAAGACGGAACGATTGTCTGTCGTCTGTCTTTTTCTAACCTACTATCCATTGAATGGAAGTAGTACGGACACGAACCTAGGCGCATTTTACTTTTATCACCGCGAAAGTGCACCTAGCGGACGTAGTTTAGGCGCATTTTGGTCAGATGGCGTATTTAAAATGCGCCTAGCCGTACCCCCGAAATACGGCCAGTGGCCGCTCTTATTCTTCTCTCTGCTTATACTGTAGCATAAGCCCATAAGATAGGTAAAGAGAATTGTATTGAAATGCGAGGAGCGACTGTGCCTAAGTTTCATTGGTTACAATAGTGCGCATATTCAGAGCGTGTGATGCAACGACTTGGCTGTCACTGGCAAATAGTAAATGTAACAAAATGATAAGAACTATTTACACTGACAGTATTTTGCAGAGGTTATGCATGTCTTTTTTTTCATAATTTCACTCACACACAACTTCATACACATCTATGTATGTATCAAATACTTACACAACGGCACAACCAGCAATTAGATTTAGGCACAGTTTAGCTCGTCGAACCGTCCCGCAATGGTTATCCCCCCGCAACTCTATGCTCTGTCCCTATATTCCTACGTCTATGAGATATACCAGAGAGAAACATGAAAGCGACCAACACAGCGTTTTCGGCGACACCGATTTTTCGCACTGGAAATGGGCGCCATCTGCATCCATTTTGAAAGGGGAACTACAACGATGCTACATCCACTTTTAGGTCTCGACGGTAAAACCTGCATCTGGTGGCTGTCCGTGCTACATCCACTTTCAGGTGGTTTATGTCCGTGCTACAACCATAATAGCGTACTTGACAAGCACGGTCTCGCGCATTGTTATGCATTTGTAACATGAATTAAAATGTTAACATGCGCAAAAAAAATAAGAAATGGGATTGTATATGATTAATATCATGAATATTATATACGATTTATATCGATATATAAATACATGATAATAAAATGATACTTTGTGTGTACCCAAAATTATTTTTCCAAAATATTTCAGCGTTACATTAGTATTTATTTATACTCCGACAGGCATTTTTTAGTGCAGTTATGTCCGTGTGCATGTATTGCATTGAAAGTGTGCATATACGCACACGCACGCACACACACGCGCGCGCGCGCACGCACGCACGCACGCACGCACGCACGCACGCATGCACGCACACACGCACAGTTTCTTTTATAAAGAAATGGAAAATAAATATGGAATTATATAATAATAATTTATTTATTTCTTAATTCATATCTCATCCTTGCGGCTTTGATTATAATAATAATATCCTAGCATAAAATGTATTCAAAAATATTATTTCACATTCACGAGATTTCGTCGTGAATTCTGCTTTGCATGCATTTACATATAACACACGGCCGCGTACCTCCGAAATGAGTTGTTACTTATCGTTGTTAAGAAGTAAACGTCTTTTAGAGCTCGTTGTATCTCTTCCCGTGCGCTCATTCGCTTATACATTTTAATTACAGAGTAAATGTTGAGAAAATTACAAAATGATATAACTTTTTTTATTATTTTCACCCATTCTATTTGTACACTGCGGCTACTTCATGAATTACCGAAATCTGCCCATACTGAACAAATATCAAAAATACATCCAATGGATATCCTATAGATATCACGATATCTAGAGAATATTCATGACATGCATATTGGATATTTGTTCTATATGGATATATATCAATGAAATCCACAAATTTTACAACGTTTCTCGTTCGAATAACATATAGTAAGTTTTTCTGCTGAACACAGTCAATATGAACGAAGCATCTTAAAATAAAGTAAAGATGATTTTATATACAAAAATTATATTAAATAAATAAATGAAAATTATACACACAGATACATACATACAAATGTTTTTCATTTCATTTCTGTTGCAGGAAATACTAAGTTAGAAAAATGCTCTTCTCACTCCCTTGGATGCGCGGGATTGTGCGAAGACCATTTCAATGATGCATAATTTCTGACAAATACGAAGAAACGTTTAAAATTGGATGCAGTTCCAATTCATTTCGAGAGCGAACATGTTAATGAAAATGTAGAACAAGTGAAGAAAAAGAGACATATAGAAGTGGAAAAACTCCCAGAAGAAGTAGAAATCGGAGAGAACACTATACCAACTGTTCTTACAAGTCATATTTCGGAAATATTAATATAGACGAGCAATTAATAGAACGGTATCCACTTTGAACATATGACACATATAACATAATTAGTCTGCGAATAATCGATAGACCTTTAAGAGAAAAGCTCGTACATCGAAAAGACGTGATTTCGCCTTTGTCGCCGAATTGAAGTACCGGATCTCGGACAGTCGCAGTCGAACGTGCTAGCAGGATAGAGAGACAAGCTTTTCGAGCGAGAAGGATTGTGTTGTTTTTCACTACTACTTGTAATATCTGGACGCGAGTGCGTTACAAGGATTATTGTACGAACGCGCGTTTAACGCATGCCGCATTCAAGAGAACAATTCGTCCGACGAATAATGCCGCACGACGCGTCATGTGGAGCGTGATCACGAGTCTCTCTCGGTCTTGTCTCTTCTGCCAGAACGTTTCAGAAATAAGCAAATCTTCCTGTTCGAACCTCGAACAACTACACTATCATGAAACAAAGCTTTCAAAATATTTAGAGAAGGAAACAACCCAGTCGACACAGAACATTATATTTATGTTAAAATTTCGCACTCAACAATATAAATGTAATATAACACACTTGGTGTTGAGTGTGAAATTTTAATATAATGTAACTAATGCTCTGTGTCAACTGGGAATTACCACCTGCTCTTATTACGAATTACGAATGTAACAAGAAGTAACACGAATGTAACAAGAGATAATAATTCGGATAATAATTAGAAGATGCAATTTTTTACAAAAATATTTATAGAAATGCATATGTACAAAAAAAGAATCATGTGCTGTTGAACGAGATATAAGTTTGTGCGCGATGCCGTGTTTCTCAAACTCGCAATTATAGGCGTACCACAGACACGAACCGCCAGTAAATGGGCGTAGAACGGACACTCACCAAATAGAGACTTTGAGAGAATTGAGAGATCTAATATTTGGAAAGTCCGTTTTTTATCACGGTAGGGAAATTCTTATGGATACCCGCGTCCCTTGGGGGGGTTATGCCGGACTCTTACCGGCTAAAACCCCACCGGGGTGTCTGCCAGTGGGGCGCGTCAGGGGAACTACGCCAGCACTCCTTCTCCGACACCCCAGCCCTGGAGCTCTCAAGGAACCCCTCGCCCAAGTGCCCCTTTAGGAGGGAGGCGCGGCGCCCTGATCAGTTATCCGGTCGGGTTGGTTTTCTGACCTTATTGGAGGAAAGGGGGGACACTCATCCTCTCTTCTAGCCCTCCTTTCATGAAGGAGCGCGGGGGAGTGGGGTCCGTCCCCAGACGGGACACCCACTACCCCTTTTCCTCCCTTACCGTCGCACAGGCGAGGCAGGCTCTAGGCCTGTCGCCCCCCTCCCCTGCGCGGACGGAGGCGGGCCCGAGGCGGTCGAGGAGGCCCCCGAAGGATCGGGGGTGGCTCCTCGACCGACGCCACCTCGGGCCCGCTGTCGAAGCCGGAGGAACTGCCCTCTCCGTCACTCCCTGCGACGGGTGCCAGGGCGGCGCTTCCATTCGGCGACCTCCTTGCGGGACATAACGTCCTCCGCAAAGGAAGCTGCCGCCGACCAGATCTTCTCGCTCCCGCACATAGCTTGAACCATGCGCGGGAGCGAGAGATCCTCCCCGGCGTAATCCACCGCCCAGGCGAGGACACGGCTCCTGGTCCCATGATTCGCATGATACCAGCGTATGGTGCATCGTGCCTTCAAGCACCGAGTAGGGGTGGCACCAAGTGGTGGGCTCCTTCTGGATCTGGTGCAGGAACCGACCAAAACACACATGGCCTGCACCAGTCGGAACGAGAGTCCGCGTCCCTGTTTGCTCGCCATTTCTGCGAGACAGGGGCGGACGGCCTCGGCCGTTCGGAGCCTGGGTCCACGAGGGTCGGTCAACATGGTCTCCTACCGCGTCATGACCGCTCTGGCCTGGGACTTCAAGGCCGCCAGGTCCCTGGCCAACACTACTTCCATTTCCCCGCGGAGCTCACGTACTCTCCAGTAAAGGGTACATCGCTCTACGGCGATGAGCTCCACGGGGATGAAGTCGGCCAAGGTCGTCGCCGCCATATACGACACGGTGTAGAACGCCCGGATTGCCCTTATGATCACCGACCACAGCGCCTGATGTATCATGCACTTGTAGCGGTCACTGGCCATAAGCAGGGGCACCCCGTAGAGGGCGACCGAGAGGACCACATCGATGTATAGGCGGCGAGCGTGCTACCCGGGGCCCTCCTGGGTCTGCATCAGCCTGGCTAACGCCAGGCTTTTCGGACCTGGGAGGCCAACCACCTAAAGTGCGGCCCAAAGGCCGTCCAATATCAGGCCCAAGTATTTGATATTGGACCCGATGCAGACGCGGATTCCGTCCACCGAGACCTGAGGCTCCAACGGCGCCCCACGATTGCTGTCGTGAAACAAGACGGCCTCCGTCTTATGGGACGCCACCTTCAGTCCCAGGCTCCTGATGGAGCCCACCATCGATGCCAGCGCCGCCTCCGCTCGGAGGCGGGCATCCCCCACCCACCACTAAGGTTTCATCTACGTAGCAGATGGCGTGGCAGCCGGAGGGAAGGGCGAAACGAAGCAACTGGTCGAATGCGATGTCCTACAGCAGGGGGTCGAGAATCGACCCATGCGGGACACCGCATTGCATAGTCCGACGGCCTTGGACCTCGCCTCTCGTTGAGTAGACGAGATCCCTGTCCCCGAAGTAAGCCGCTAGGATTTACCGGAGATAGACGGGCACCCCGTGATGTTCGAGGACCTGTCCGACTTCCGGCCAGGGCAAGGTGTTGAAGGCGTTGGTGATGTCCAGGGACACCGCCAACAACACCCCGCCCCCTCCTCCACGACTACACGGGTCAGCTCCCGAACCCGCTGGACTGCGCTCAGCGTGGAGCGTCCGGGCCTGAACCCGTATTGTTGGTCGTGGTGGTCCGGTCCCTCCAGGGACAGATGTTGGACGAGGCGGTCCGCGATGATCCTCTCCAACATCTTACCCGCCTCATCCAGCAGGCAGATCGGCTTACAGGCCAATCAAGTCTTAAAGGATAGCAACCTTTGACTTTGAGAGACCACCAGCTTGTACCACTAGGTACAAGTAACAATGCCTCTCTCTGTAGTCGCCATGCGCTCGGGATAGCACTAGAGATGTCGCTTCCGAACGACATCTCTTAACGTTATCTAGGGAGGGGAGAGTGTCGTGAATGTAGAACGTCAAATAGCTCAGTGATTTAGAGCAGTCGCTCGGCAAGCGAAAGACCCGGGTTCGATTCCCGGTCTAGCGACTACCGCGCTCTCGATATTTTTCTCTCTTCGGAACGAAAATAAGATGCAGGTCCCGAACGCACGGCATCCCGTTGCCACCTAGTACGCCCTCCTTTTTTCATGATTAAGGCAGATTGGCCTGTAGGCCGACGGACTCT